TATGGTAAAGGCTCATCTCCTATTCTAACCACAGAGAAATGCTGGTCAAAATGGAAGAAAGATTTTTATATGCTTATCCCAGCTCAAAAGCAAGTAGGGGAAAGTCTTGGGATTTAGGAAAGAATAGGGAACTAAGAGCCAAAGAAAGGAATATAAACTAAAGTTGAATAGTTCCTGGGGATATCAGAACCAGATGTGGACTTTAGAGGTCTAAGGGCTTGAGCTCAGGATCTGTGTAAAGTGTGGAGCTAGAACTGAGTTCCCAGGAAAAAAAAAAATCTAGAAACCTGAATGGTTTATAAAGCCTAAAAATATATGAAATGGGGCCTAGAAAAATCACTCATTGGTCCAGGAAAGCAGCCAGGAGATTGACATTCAGTCTAGAGCCATGGCCATAAATGGAAAGAGACATGTAAGAGAAATTGGAACTCTAAACCTGGACCAAGCATGGGTGTGGACTTTAAATTCACACAATCCACATGTGGCACAACCCCCCAAGCTAAGAAATTAACAGAAAAAATTGGTTCCAAATCAGTAAAACTCATAGGGCCTTGGCAGAGGCAAACTTGGAACTACTTTGAGGGAATTCCTCTACAACACTCGGTATCTCGGACTCTGACAGAAAACAATCCTTGCTGTAGGTGAAAACACAGTCATGAAATTACAAACCTCACAAGAAAATTAACCACCATAAGGATGCTTCCTCTGACACAAATGGGAAAAAAAATTGCATGCCAAGAAACAGAGATAATAGAACAATTTAAAAGAGACTTTAAAAGAGGTTGAAAATTGTTTAAAGAGAAAAACAAAGAATGGAGAAAAACTGTTTGTCAAGAAAAGGACATTGATGGTTATCTGCGGCCTTTAGAAAATCCGTAGCCTATCAAGGTGGGGGGTCAGATATAGATAAAGGTATTAAAAATCAAATTGTCAGCCTTGAGAAATTCTTAGAAAGTCCTGATAGAAGAGATTAAGATATGTGGTCAAAATAAAATAGATTTTATCTTTCCACCCTTATTTGCAATTCTCTCACATCAGATGATTCAGTTTCAGGTTCTTTTAACAGTCTTCTAAGAACAATGCTATGGAAATGAAATGCAAACAGAAACCGCTATCCAATTCATCAAAAGAAGTCATTCATATCACTGAAGCAAGAGTGGTGTTCTGACATTCATCTATTGTTTTACCTTCACCTTTCTCATTAATGTTCAAGAAAATATTGACCAATATTCACATCAGAACTACACTTGTGTTTTATTTGCAAACATAGGTTCCACAAAAGTAAATGGAAGCACTCTGTAAGAATCAATTGAGTACATAGGATTTACAATAATTATAGTTTTTTTGTTATTTTTAAATTGTATATATTGTGTGATATCCTTTATATTAGTAAAATTTGTAATAAACTTATGTATTTACATGCATACTTTTTTCAGAAAGCCAGTTGGTAAATATTTACCAATACACCACCGATGTATATCTTCCTTATTTAGAAATGGTGGGAATTATCGTATGTGGATCCCATTCCCGTCCAACTCCCATTCAGCCCCACCCTCTCTCACACGCACATGTACATACACACACAGAGGCCCACAAACCCTACTACCACTACTACCATCACAACCTTCATTATATTTTGATTTACCTCATCTGGTTTTGAAAAGTTTGGGCTCTAAAACACAAGAAAACTTAATGGGGCATAAGTATTTGAGCTCTCTCCCCAGGGATTCTCCTCCTGAACACATTAATAATCTGAGTTTATCCATTTCAAGACACATGTCCAGCAAATACATGGCTATAAAAATTTAAGCCTGTTGAGGTTTCGAGATGTTTAGGGTCTCTAGGGAACCTCCTTACAATGCAGATGCTCACAGAGCTCTCTGAGAAAGGGAACTGGGGGAATGCTAGGGCAATGAGAGCCAATCCACTGCATGTAGGCCACTTTCCAGGAAGCCTCACTTACCTCATTATCTAGCACCAATGCACCAAGGCACAAAGTTCTTTTTATTTTGATAGTCTTCAACCTACTTTAGATGTAAATGTCAGTTGGCCATCTCTACTAATAGGGCATACAATAACACAGGAATTACTTTGAAAATATCTGGAGGCAAAACTATACAGTAGCGAACAGATGCAAATGGTAGATAGAAGTTTGCACATAAGCCAATTTTTAGAAATGCCTAGAAACATTATGTTTCAGGTCATTTGCCCAATCAATGCAGAGATCTCTCTCATGCCTTTTAGAAGAGGAGGTGTCCACTCCCTGGTACACATTGAGTCTCACTATTTGGCACAAGAGCTGATCATTTTAGGACTCTTCTCAGAGTATTGTGTATGATGGTTGGATGGTTTTCCTGTTTCTGGCCATTGACAAAAGGCTTCAGGATATTTATCCAGCATGTGTAAAAACTACACTGCTGAAATATCTGTCTCATGTGTTTATTTAACAAGAACCTGTCTGATGGGAGAGTAACAACATTCCTCCCAGGAGAAATTGCTGCAATAGTCAGTACGTTGTGTGTAGTGCCAAGAAAAGAGCAGATGCTGTCATTTTTGATAGACCATCTCATGGAGGCCCCTTTTTGCACATTGCTATAATTGTCTTTCTCCATTAAAATCAAACCAGGTCTGAGCACCCACACACTAGGAATCACTAAAAGTTATTTTATTTGATAGTTTCTTTCAACAGAGCCCAAAAGAATGACAACCTAGGTTTATATGTATAAATGTATATACTGGTAGTTTTAGCAACTGGGATTGCTTATAATAATGTTTATCACAATCTCTGGATTTTCTGCTATCTGGTTTGATTTTCCTTAATACCTTCAATTTCGTGGGAATGAAGGGTAGCAAGGCATAGAAAAAAACTCTCTGTTCAGGTTTAGAGAACTCAGGGCCTGCTTGGGTGAATCATACCTACTCTAGAATTTAGAAAAACTTTATAGAACACTGATATGAGAAGGATATTGCCTCATAGGAGCTCATAAATAAAAGGACATAGATTGACAGAGTCAAAATGAACACATATCAATCTCAGTATCCACATCAGATTATGCCTCAAATTTGACTTCTACTTGGATGACCAAGCCTCAGAAGGAAAACAACACTACGCTAAGTTTGGATGGGGCTTTTGAGTTCACCAAGGACTTTTGCATACATTATCTTATATGAGCCTTCCAAATATTATTACCATCCTCATTATATATATATGAAAAATCACTTTACAAAATGTTAGGTAATCTGCCAGGGGCCAGTTTGCTTGTTCATGATAGATCCAAAACTAGGATCCAAATTTCCTGACTCTTAGTCCAATGCACTTTCTACTATACAAGACTGTCTTTCACTTTTACACAGCTATGTGACAGAGCACATGTTCAAAGTAACAATGAATAAGCTTGTTTCAGATTTGTGTCAGACATATATATATGACAGAATCTTGACATTGAAGGTTTTGACAATTATGGAATGATCCCAAGGTCTACAACATGTCATTTTGCTGAGGTATACATTTGTACTGTAATAAAACTATTATTTGGCAACAAGTCACTTATTAGGGGTCAGCCCAGCATCCACATGTCTATGGGGTTTCTTTAATTTCTGCTTATCTTAATATAAATTGTTTGTTTGTGAAAATGGTCCTCAAAGAAAGCCATCTGCTAGTTCTGGTGACTAAAGAGAAACGGTTTCAGAAAGCAGTGGTTCTTAAAACATGGAAGTTTGGGATCAATCAAAGTGTAAAATGGACAATTTGTCCATGGCTCAGAGTGGTGATGGGAACAAGTCCACCGTGAAGTCCACAAGGGAAAAATATTTTTGAAATTGCTTTATCTAGTGCTTTCACTAAGGCAAGGATTGTATATTATGGAGAAAATAATATGCTCTAATATGATTTATGAATTGGGGGACTCCTGTAAGTGTCAGAAATGTTGAGATGTGTTCTCTCTACTATTCTTCCCTTAATGATCTACTTTGCCAAAAGAAAATAAAATCAATGCCAGCAAGAAACAGTTGCTTATATAGGTAGTGAGAAATTTACAATTAAAATGAAATTTTAGTTAAAATCACAAAGATGCATAATGCAAAGTGCTTAAATACTGCTTAGAATTATTTAAGTACTGTGAGTGATATAAGAATACAGACGATCTGATAAGACAGTTTCCCCTGGATGGACTTTTTATAGATCTATTTGTAATTCAAACATTTTCCCTTTGGTTTGTGTATTAGAGTTCTCCAGAGAGACAGAACCAACAGGAGGGAGGAAGAGAGGGAAGGAGGGAGAGAGAGAATTCACCTTTCTTCTGCCTTTTGTTCCATTGTGGGGCCGGGGAGGCAGCCACTTGGGTGGCGCCTGCCCACATTGAGGCAGATCTTCCCCACTCAGTTCACCAATCCAAATGCCAATCTCTTCTGGAAACACTCTCACAGACATACCCAGAAACAATGCTTTACCAGCTATCTAGGTATCCCTTACTCCAGTTAAGTTCATACCTAAAATTAACCATTATACTTTGTATTATTCAATTTTTCTTAAAATATATAATAATCAGAATGAACAAATTTTCCCTGTGCAATCTTAATAATAGAGGATAGTCTATTATGATATGTCTTGTCACCAAAAAAAATTAACTTATACTTTTGATTAATGTTGGCTACAAAGGCAAGTCCAAATAAGCAGTGCTTAATAGTCTCAAAAAAAGAAAAATAAAAAGGTATTCTTTTCATTTGATTCTTTCATATTAGCTCCTGAGAGGGAAGCAGTAAAAATAGACAGTTCTAAAAACTGATTATTTTCTCATTTTTGATAATGCCTTGAATTTTAAAATTTCCCAGAAGCCCTCGTAACTTATTTAAAATTTTCTCATGTACAATGGTAAGATGATTGGAGGAAGAGTTGAAAAATAGGTTACCTCAGAGTTTTCCTTTGGATGTTAAATGGTCCCTTCCTGTCTCCCAGTGATAACCAGGAGTCATTTGCTCATTTCTTTTTCTCTCATTCTCAGGTAAGCCTCTGAACATCCCTTGCAAAGCATTCTTTGGATTCAGTGGAGAGTCCGGGCCAATGATCTACTGGATGAAAGGGGAAAAATTTATTGAAGAACTGGCAGGTCACATTAGAGAAGGTGAAATAAGGTACAGACCTTGAATTGCTTATCTTTCTTTGCTGTCTTTGCTGTTAAGCAATGAAACATCCTGAAAAGGATTCTGCCCAGGCTTTTAATTGCAACTCCAAATCATTCCATTCTCTAAAAGCTGATCTGGTGGAGAGAGCAAGGGTGACTGCCTTAAATGCAAATGAGTAAGCTTCTAACAGAAGAAGGTTTATCTCTGGTTCTAAGGATATGTCTTCAGGGTATAATGACCCTCCCAAAGCTGCCTGAGCAAATTTCTTCGAGTTTCTGAAGCTTAGACCATAGTTACTCCATCCAATCACAGGAAAGGTCCAAACTTTGCAGGTGACTTTTCAGATCACTGGGCAAATGTCCATTTATTTCCTGGCAACAGACAACCTTCATATGTCACAAGTGTAAAGCTGCGGTGGCAAAAGCAGGCTGGTACTCAGCCAAAATAACTATTGACTCACGTTGGATAGTGTTGATTTTTCCCAGCATCCACTGCTCAACCTGAAAATGACTGATCCTTAGTTTAGCACATGCCTAGACCTCTTTTCACTCTCCTGTTACCCAGATAACTCTCTAGTGTATAGATATCAATTCTATTGGTTTTCTAATTCTATTTAGTGCCGTCTCATATACAAAAAGAGGTAACCTTTCCTACCTCACTCAGTTTGTGGGGTTTCCGTTTGGTTTCAGAGATGGTGATGTGTAATGTATGTTCCTCGTTTTGATAGGAATTGGGACCCTTCCCCCTTAAACCCCCATTAAGAATCATATAGTGGAAATCAATCTAATATTTCAGTGTAACTGATATTAAAATGTATTTTTTCAGTTTTCTTATTGAGTATATAGCAGTATAAATAGAACAAGTATACTTATATTATTTACTATGTTTAAATATAATTTATAATTACTCTCATGATAATTTCTCTCCATGTCTCCACCCAATAAGTCTTCTCTAGGGGTTCATAACTTTTGAGAGTTCATGAACCCCCTGAGAGCCTATGCAAAATATTGACTATAGGAATGTATTTCTAGACAACAAATACATGAAAAGGTGCCTGACATCATTAGTCATCAGGGAAATGTGAATCAAAACCACATGATACAAATTTATACTTACTAGATGGTTATACTAAAAAAGTCAGATTATAACGAGTGTTGGTGAGGACATGGAGAAATTGAAAACCTCATGCTCTGCTGGTAGGAATGTAAAATGATGCAGCCCCTTTGGATAACAGTCTGGCAATTCCTCAAATGGTTAAGCATAGAGTTACCATATAGTGCAGCAATGCCCCTCCTAGGCATGTAACCAGAAGAAATCAAAACATACATCCACCCAAGAACTTGTCTAAAAATGTTCATAGCAGCATTATTTATAATGGACAAAAATTGAAAACAACCTGAATGTTTAACTGATGAGTGGATAAATAAAATGTGGTATATTCATACAATGGAATATTATTTAGCCATAAAAAGGAATGAAGTGCTGACATACAACATGGATGAACCTTAAAAACATTATTCTCGGTGACAAAAACCCACATACTATATGATTCCATTTATATGAAATGTTCATATTAAGCAAATATATACAAACAGGAAGTAGATTACTGGTTGCTTAGGGCTGGTGGGAAGGACTGGAGTAATAGGGGGTTATAGCTAAAGTATATGGGTGTATTTTTCATGTGTGGTAAAATACAACATAATATAAAACGCACCCTTTCAAAGTATACAATTGAGTGGCAGTTAGTACAATATTGTGCAACCACCACCACTATCTAGTTCCAAAACATTTTCATCACTCCAAAAGGAAAGCCTATACCCCTTAAGCAGGCTTGATGGTTACACATAATCTGTGAATATCCTAGAAAACAATGAATTTTGTATGCTTCTAATGGATGAATTATACCGCATGTGAATCATATCTCTCAATAAAGCTGCTTTTTATATTTTAAAAAACCTTCTCATTGATCGCCTGGTACAGAGCAGAGCAGATTTTCCAAATAAATAAATAAATAAATAATATACTACCAATAATTCTCAAGTATTAATTCCCGTTTGAACTTTAAGGTTCCTAATTAGTAACACTTTATTAGACAACTTCAAGTTAAGATTTATTTGAAAACGATGCGACTGAATCTCTTCTAAATTGTTTTACAAGATACATGTTTAAGATTATTATCAATGTATCCACCTATAAAAGACCTTAAAGGTCACTCTTCCTTTCTCAGAACAAGAAACTCATCCCCAAAATGGCAACTATGTAACTAGTACACAGTTAGTAGCAGAATATCTACTACCAAAAAGCTCAGAGGTATGTTTTGTGATCAAGGGTAGTAATTACATGAGCCTAAGATCTCCCTTTTCTTGTATATGTCTGAGTAGATTTTTAAAAATAAACAGCTTTATTGAGGTATAACTGACATACAATAAACCACACAATTTAAAGTGTGCATTCGTAAGTCCTGAGTTATATACATATATCCCTGTGAAACCATTACCATAATGCAGATAACATATTAATCATCCCCACATTTCCTGGTACCCCTTTGAAATCCTTCCCTCCTGCCCTTCTCCCACAATGCTGATCTTCCCGTCACTATAAATCAGTCTACATTTTCTAGAGGTTTATTTAAACAAAATCATACAGTAGGTACTTGTTTCTCTCTGGAATATTTCACTTACAATCATTTTGAGATTTATCCCTCTTGCTTTATGTATCAATAGTTTATTCCTTTTTTATTGTTGAGTAGTATATGAATATACAACTATTTTCTTATTCATTCACCTTTTGAATTAACATTTGTGTTGTTTCCAGTTTGGGACTATTACAAATAAAGCTGCGATGAACATTCACAGGCACGTCTTGGTATGCACATATATTTCCTATTTTCTTGGCTAAATACCTAGACATGGAGTGGCTGAATTTTATAGTAGGCATACATTTAACTTTCTCAGTTTTTTTTTTTAAAAAAAAAACTTTGAATCTTTTTTAAACAAATTTTATTTTTAGACTAATTTTTGATTTACATAAAAATTATGAAGACGGTATAGAGAGTTCTTATATACCCTGCACTCAGTTTCCCCTATCAACATCTTAATTAAGTTCCTATGGTTAGGGCTGGTGGGGAGGAATGGAGTGATAGGGGGTGACATTTGTAATAATTAATGAATCAAAATTAATACATTATTACTAACTAAAGGTGTTTCTTTATTCAGATTTTTTTAGTTTTTGCCTATTGTCCTTTTTTTCCCCTCTGAGATTATTTAACTTTTCAAGAATCTACCTAACTGTATTCCAAAGTAGTTATACCATTTTACAAAACAAAAGAGAAGCACTGCTAGTCTCTCTAGCAGCAAATGATTAGAGTCAATGGGAGACAAAACATACACACGTGAAACAGGTAAATCCTGAACTAGCCACTATATTAGGTGCCAAATGAGTCAACCAGCTAGTAAGTGCTATAGGAAGTCAGCCTTTCAGGAATGGCAAAATGCCATTGCTTGATTGATTTCGTTACATCCTTTTTCTCCACCTTCCCCAGTACCCCCAGTAAAAAGGGGTACATAACTATATTTGCAGTGGTGGAAAGTTACAGGGAATTTATCTTGAAAATTTCACAAAATCCCACTAGCTAACTAGAGGCATTCAGAGAAGTGCAAATGAAAAGGCAGAAATTCCTGGCCAACATAAACACAGAGTCTCCCATTTTGTAATATGGTCATGAGTTGCTTAACAACAGGCTATGTTCTGAGAAATGCATCATTAGGCTATTTGGTCGTTGTGCAAACATCATGGAGTGTACTTACACAAACCTAGAATATAGCCTACTACACATGGAAGCTATATGGTATAGCCTACTGCTCCTAGCCTACAAGCCTGTATGGGATGTTACTGTACTGAATACCATAGGCCATTGTAACACAATGATAAGTATTTGTGTATCTAAACATACCTAAATATAGAAAAGGAATTTTTCATCACCATTATAATCTTATGGGACCATCATTGTATATATGGTCTATCATTGACTAAAACATCATATGGTGCATGACTGTATTGTATGATCTGTGATCCATTGGGGAGCTTGTGTGGATTCCAGAATTCTTTCAGTTTATGGCCATTTATGCTAACACAGGAATTAATTACTAGATCTTGTCTTCTAGCCTCCAAAGCCAATGTCCTTGAAACAAAGCATACAAGGTTTCACATAGCATGGCATATTGGAACAAATCCAGCAGTTTAATAGAAAAAAATTGTTAATCAGACTATTAAGTGAACCAAGAGAAGATTTATATTCTTTCCTAGCCCACACATTTTCTCCAAAGGGAACGTTTCTGATGGCAGAACACTGAGGATTTTGATTAGGGGATTCTTCTCAAAGGCAGTTCTGGAAACAAAATTTACTTCTGGATGCATGGCTGTCCTTCAGGGTTATCTTAGTCTGTTCAGACAACTATAACAAAATACCTTAGCCTGGGTAATTTATAAACAACAGAAATTTATTGCTCTCAGTTCTGGAGGCTGTGAAGTCCAAACTGAAGACACCAGTAGATTTAGTGTCTGGTGAGGGCCTGTTTCTCATAGATGAGGCCTTCTATGTGTCCTCACATGGGAGAAGGGCCAAGAGAGTTCATTCAAGCCTCTTTTATGAGGGTACTAATTCCATTCATAAGCCTTCATGACTTAATTACTTCCTAAGGTCCCCACCTCTTAATACTATTGCATTGGGTATTAGGTGCCAAAATATGAATTTGAGGGTGACACCAACATTTAGACCATATTAAAGGTATTGTTTTGGGTTCATATTTTAATTAAATCATAGCTCTGTTGCATGTACATTTCAGAATTGCACTGCCAAGTATATCTAAGAAGTGGGGAGGTAAATAAGTAGCTGTCAGAGAGATGACTTGTGGAGAAGCTTCTCCAGAGGCACTGGATCTAGCAAGAGGGCTGGTTCCTCTGTTAGGTTCTCAATTTCTGGACAGCAGCTTTTTCCTAGAAGTGTGTGC